TGTGATCAAGACCGACCCAATCTTTACACCTTGGCTCTTTAGGCTAAAGACCTTCATTGCACTTCTTAAATCATAAAAATGTTTTTCAAACATGTTTAAGTCATTAAAAACACTTGGTGTTCGCCCAAACCAAAAACCAAGCCATCCGGCGTTCGGGTTTCAGAAACTGGCGTTCGGCTCTCGGTCATCGGCTATGGTTTTTGGCATCCGAACCAACCAAGTGGTTTTCAACTTTTTATGATTGGTTTTTACTCTTTGGCATGTTTAATCGGTTCTCCAACAAAAACATCTTGAAAACCATCTCTCGCTTTTGGTCGTTTGACAAAAATCACTCAAAACGGCATAAAACTTGGCTAGCCGTGGTTTTCACTTAAATGACGTGGTTTTGAAAGTGTCTTACTCTATTTATTAGCCAAGTACATCAAATAAGTGTTTTAAACACTTGGTTTTTATTTTGGAGAACTTTTAATTTTTCGGTCGGGTTTCGCATCGGTTGGCTAGGCCGTGGTTAAGGCAAAAACCATGGGTTCTTGACTAACCACTCACCCAGCGATGGGAAGATTTTCCCATCGATGGGTAAGCGGCTCCTCAGCCAAACCACTTTCCAGAACCATGCCAAACAGCGATGGGGAGTTCCACCCATCGCTGTTAGAGCCTTGGTGCAAAATTACCACAAGGCAGAACGACCTTGCCCAGCGATGGGAAGTCTATCCCATCGATGGGAACCCAGGGATGGTAAGGGTATACCATCGATGGGAAGGCATGACCGTTGGTGGTCATTAAAGGTTGATTCTTTCCTTGTTTGGAAGTCAACCTCCCACCCAGCGATGGGAAGCTTGTACCCATCGATGGGTAGGTGACCATTGACTTCAAAACAGAAGAAAAATTGGCTTACCAGCGATGGTTGATTCTAAACATCGATGGGAAGCCAAAATTCTGCAGATCCCAAATCTTTTCAATCCCATAAATCAAGCTAATCACTCCTTTAATGCATTGGTCCGTTGGAGCCTAATTTTGCACTATAAAAAGGGGTGTTTGGGTCTGCTTTTCTCACCAATTCACTTCACAACATCTATACTTTCATTACATTCAAATATCATAATTTTCCATAGCTTTCTAGAGCCACTTGTGTGAAGGTTGAGTTGTTCTTCAGCGTACTTAGTTTACTCAGAATCTACTCTATAAGAGAGTCTCGTTCTTGAGTGTACTTGTGTTCTTAGACACGTTGAGAGATAGTATCACTCTCGGTTGATTCAAAGGAAGGTCTGTTTCCTTTAAAGGATTCATTGAGGTTCGTGTGACTCGAACTCTCAAGTTGTAACGGTTTGTTAAGCACCCGTAAGCTTAACGAGTTAGTAGTGTAGCTCGAGAGAGTCTCTCGGGAGGCTGGATTGGCCACAAGTTGTGGTGAACCAGGGTAAAATTCGGTGTGCCTCTTACTCTTCTCTTTACTTCTCTTTTAAATTTTTAATTCCTGCGATTTCTCCGATCAAACGCTATTCACCCCCCCTCTAGCATTGGTCTTTTATTCTAACAGGTTCATAATAGTTAAAAGGTTTAACCATTTTGTTCCTATTTTGTGAAAATGATGGTTTTTGGAAATTTTGAAATTGGCCTCTTCTAGGTGCTCTAGCATTATTTCTTCTTATTTGAGAAAATTCATTTTTATGCACAAAATCATTTTTCTTAGGTTGTCTACTATGACCATTTTCATTCCTAGGTTTTAGTCTAGGTTGTCTAGTGTCCTTCCGTTGACTAGGTTTTCCATTATCTTCATTTTTAGGTTTCTTATGTTGAACCTTAGATGATTGTCTAGGTGGTGGCTCAACATTATCTTTAGCTTTATTTTTATCAAAACCTATTCCTTCCTTAGAAAGATGCATAGTGTCAAGAAGTAAATTTAAGTCTTTGTGAGGAGTATTAAATTTCTTGACCGTGCTCTCAAGTTTAGCGACTTGCTCTTTTAAAGTTTTGCAAGACCCACATTCCCTCGATGAGCTTTCTGGTTTGTCAGCGCTTCTTTTTCCAAAAAAATTGTTTTCTTGTTTAAGAATTTCATTTTCTTTTTCCAATTTTTCAAAATCGTTGTCAAGTCAAGAAAGTCGTTTCTTCAGGGATTTATTTGTTTTAGAAGCGCTAACAAATTCCTCATAAAGTTCATGTAGTGCTTCTTGCATTTCTTCAAAAGTGTAAGAGTCGGAAGAAATATTACATACCTCTTGGACGTCGTCGCTTTGATCTTCGTGCGCCATGAGGCAGAGATTTGCAGCTTCGTCCTCCTCTTGGTCGGTTGATTCGTCGCCGGAATCGCCACCCCAAGAGATGTAGGCCCTTTGCTTCTTGAAGCCAGGCTTATCCTTGCCGTGTTTGGCCTTTGGACACCTTGGCTTGATGTG